GGGGGGGGTTCCTGATGCTCCTCTCTTGTGGCACATATCCATATCCTGAGGCCTTGAGCGAAGCAAGGGGGTTTCCTTGCGGATACGGCTGGGTCAGTGGGAGGGTAGCAGGGCTTGGAGAGCCTGAATCAGCATCTCCTTGGGAAACCACACCATATGAGAAGGGTTTGGAAAAAAGGAAAAAACTAACCTAAAGAAGTTGAAATGTCGAGTGCTGAACTTCCTTGCACCTGTGTTATTTTCTCCCACACAATACCCCTCTCCTCCAACATTGAAAAAGAGACTTCTCCCACTGTACCACACCCAAGTCAAAGTGCAGACATTGTGTTAAGTCTAACAAAGGCAGGCACGTAGGCTCAAACTAAGGGCGGCAAACGCAGGCAAAACGGCATGGCTAAGAAAAGAAAAATCACTAAGCAAACCGTTGGTAAAATAGACGATGAAACTGAGATAACTGAGATTGGGACGTCTGGGGCTCACAAAATAAAAGTGTAACTAATGAGAAGTTATTTTCCATCCAAAGCTCTGTGTGGAACTAGATGGAAAAATAAGATGCAGACATAACGGAAAAAGCATTAGGTATTGATCCCCCTCTTTAACAAGCCACAGATAAACCGTGTGTGTGTGAGCGCAGCAGCTCTAAGACCTCGCAGAGTATGTGGGACCATTTTAAGGTCAACATTTCTCTGTTTTAAAACAATGATTCAACAACAAAGCACATGAAAAGAGAGCAAACCTCTGCCTTAAAAGTTGCAATCAATAACCTTAACGACGGCCATTTATGGTTCACAGGCCCTTTGATGAAATGGAGGGGTTGTTAGAGTTATTGGTCACACCTGTGCTCAGGACCATCAGAATATCTGCTGTGAAGTGAAGTTAATCTTTCATATTCATTACTTGACTGGGACTGCATATCACAGCAGTGTTTATGACGGCTATTAAAACCACAAATGTTCATATCAAATCAGCTTTGGCGGTGATAAAAGCAAAAAGAGAAATGTATAACTAGCTGGGCGGTATGATAAAAAAACTCATCACGGTATTTTTCCAAATTATAACGGTATCACGGTTTATCACGGTATATATTTATTTTTCAATGATTAGGAATGTATTTGCATTTATACGTTTTTCCTATCATAGGAAGGCAGTCCCTCGAAAACCGTACTTGAGACATTTCACCAGCGTTACTTGTTGAAGCAGATCGTATTTTCATACATTCTTGTAAATTACTTGCGTTACCTTCTCGGGCAACAATTTTAGTTCGATAACATATGCAATAAATGTTTGTTTAGTCCACGTCAGAGTTTTGGAATACACAAAACCTCCGGACAAGTTATTCTTGTGTGCCATGTATCTCCATCTCCAGTCACATTTTCTTCAGCGTTCATCTTGACTCACATGTTATGCTAATGCTACTAAGCTAGGCGCTGAACCCCAGCATGCTGCCAACCGCTTGAGCGCCCTTTGCCACTTTTTCAAGGGTATTGTGGTATTTGAAAAATTCTTATCATACGGTATAAAGTTCACAGTATTCTGTATGAAACTGTATACCACCCAGCACTGTGTATAATATATTTGTAATATTTATAATGATGTGTAATAGGTCAAATTTGCAATGGTTCCCTTGACAAAAAGCTATTGGGATTTTGTAAAATATAAGCTCTTTAGCAAACAAATGGTTA